TTATTATAATTATAGTAGAATGGGCCCCAAAACCCCATTCTAATTATTCAGGCCCCCTTCATTAGAGCCTTTCTATGAGCCTTTGTTCGGCTGTTTATTTCCTTGTGGCGGGCTCCCGAGGCCCTACTTAGGGCCGGGGGCTGTAGGTTTCCGGGCTTTGGGTGTAGAGTCTCCAGTTGTCAGGTTGCTTGGAGGGTCGGGGGACTTAGTAAATGAGTAATAAGTAGGCTTATAAGTATCCTAGTAGGGATCCTAACTGGGGTTATGATACTTAACTCTATAGAATAGCTGCTTACTAAGCCCCCGGACCTCCAAGTCGGTTTTAGGGTCTGGGGTTTGGTGCTCTGACTTGGACTCCAATGTTTTGAGGCTGACACTTCGGATCCAACGAATCACGAAAGCCTGGGATTTAGGTTTCAGTGCTTGGGGATTCGACTTTTACCCTAGGGTCCTTTGGTCCAAAGGACCCAATAGTTGGGTAATCGGGTTTCGGATAGTAGACCTGGACCCTCAAGGGAGCCCTTATACTCTTAAATTTGGAGCCCTAACCCCTAAACCCTAAACCCTTAAAGGAGCCCGTAGAGGAACCCTTAAATTTTCACGAACCCTTCTAGGGTCAGGATATTCCTGATTTTCGGCTTGCGGGCTTGAGGCTCTGGACATCTAAGTCTAGGGTTCAGGCTTGTCGGACCCGTTGTTGCGGAGAGTCTTGGGGTTGGGGTTCAGGGTTTAGTAATTTAGGGTTTAGGGTGTAGTAATTTAGGGTTCAGGGTTTAGTAATTGAGGGTTCAGGGTTTAGTAGTTTAGGGTGTAGGGTTTAGCAATTTAGGGTTTAGGGTTTAGTAATTTACGGTTTAGGGCCAAGTTTAGGGTTTAGCAATTTTGGGTTTAGGGTTTAGTAATTTTGGGTTTAGGGTTTAGGGCTTGGGGGTTTAGGGTAGAGGAGTTTAGGGTCTAGGACCTCTAGGAGTTGAGATGACCCAGGTGTTCGTGTCAGTGAACGCCTGTGTTTGGACTCCTAGAACCTCTAAACTACAAGCCGAATTTTCCAATGCCTTGTAGCTTAATATACCCCGTATAGAACTCTGTTCGAAACCCACGAAACCCTTAACATTAGAGGACAGGCGCTGAACAAAGCATTCAAACACCGAGCCCTAAACCCCTAAACCCTAAGGCCCTAAACTTTAAACCGACAACCCTAAACCGACAACCCTAAACCTTAGTTAAACCCCAAGCCCTAAACCCTACATCGACAACCCTAAACCTTGAACCCCAAACCCAAAACCGGCCCAAACCCTTAAACCGACCGACCCTACACCTCAAACCTCAAACCCAAAATCCTAAACCGACAACCCCAAGGCCCTTTGCTCGCCTAGGCTTTGCATGAAGCCGCTGATCATGGCTGCCGCGTTGGCCGTTGACAGCGCCCTCGGCGTCGCGCCTTGGCATCGATGAATTCGGGGTTTAGGGGTTTTGGGTTCCTTCAGGGGGTCCCTTGAAGGGCTTATTTAAAGGGATCTATACGGGGTTTGGGTTTAGGAGTTTAGGGTTTTGGGGTCTAGGGCTTACAGTTTGAGGGTTTCGGTGGTTTCGGTTTAGAGTTTTGGGGTATGGGTTTCACGGTTTGAGGGTTTCGGGGTTTTAGGTTTTGTAGAGTTTTTGGCCCTTGTACCAAAAACTGTTACCCTTAGCCCCGAATAACTTATCTGTGGAAGGACTTATATAAGATTTGATACGAAGGCGCCCCAAAAACGTAGGTTTCTTAGCGTCCAGGTAGGCCGTTTAGTGGCGCGGCTATGTTGTACAAGGCGGAGGCGTCGAACTTTCAGGTTCAGGGTCCTCGGCGTTGAAAGACGGCGGGTAACATCTCCGTCAAAGTCCCTATGCCACTGCAGTCATGGCATTATTCCAAATATTTTAGCTGTGAAGGTCTGCACTACAAGCCTCAAAACCTACCGTTTCCTGAGATTTCCTTACCAAGGTTATACTGTAACCAGCCCGAAAGCCAAGGCCCCTACATAAAGTTGTTTCTGCACTCGCAATAGGTCTACTTTCCGCTTGCGGCTAGCCTCACTCCGAGCAATGCCTCTCGGCTGTGAAAAGAACGCAGCAGATCAAATACAGAAGCAACCAAATGGGAGTGTCCGAATAGAAGGGGTACCTTATTTTGGGGTCCTTGTAATAAAGGAACCTACTATTTAGGCTACTACATTAGGGCCCCCTATTTTCGGAAACCTCCAAATAGCTACTAATGCTATTCCTTAGGGTTCGTGGATACAATCATACGACGCATACGATGATATACCCCAAAACCACGACTGTGTGCGGATCAGTCAGGCCCCCATATTAGCTGCAGACGCTGGCCATATCGACAAAGATTCCGGGTTGAAGGGTCAAAGTTCGAGGTTTAGGGTATGGTTTAGGGGCGTGAGTTTGCCCTAGAGTACCAGACTATGAACCACCGAGGTGGAAACCCCAAGTTTTAAGGTTTGGGGCTTCAGGGTTTGGGGCAGGGTTTCAAGGTTTAGAGAGAGCGAGCGAGAGAGAGAGAGGGAGAGAGATCACTGAACCTGACCCAAAGCAGCCACAACGCACGTTTCCTTTTCGTCGGATCTTACGAAGAGTGCTGCTATTTCAATCAAGGTAAATCTTGAACCTTGACCCCCCAAATGAATCTAGAAGCCCTAAACATTCAACCTTACATGCTCACTCCGAGAGAATATATAGCATCAATAGTCACTAGCCGGCTCCGAAGCGAGTGCCTACAGTTGTCGGATTTAGAAGAAGATCTTCCTGCTAAGAGTCTGACTGTTCATGCTTCCTACAGAAGCGACGATCAGCATGAGTAGTTGCTTCACTATCATACTTGTAGCTTTAGCTTCAGTTCAAGTCTACCTTCCTGCAGGTTTCTGGCATTGTAGCATGTTGTTGTGACCCACATGTGCTCTTAGACCCTGAACCCAAAGCTTGGCTCCCAGAAGGAAGGGTCAGGGTCCATAGGATAGGCGTTGGAACGCCTGATTGCAGAGAATGTAATCATAGCATTGTTTAGGGTTTAGGGTTTAGGGCTCCATGTGACCAGTGGCACATCGGTGCTGGGATCAGCCTAACTGTGGCGGCCCTCATGGCGGCAGTGACACACTTCAAGACGGATCACATGAAGCAGCTCCTGAACCCGGACTTGTACCGCAAGATCGAAGCCGAGGTGACGGACCTGGAACCGATTCTCCAGACCCCCAATCTGGGCAAAGGCAGTCAAACGGAACGAGATACGGGAAGCTTCCGACAAGCCAAACGCCAGAAGACTGCCGAAGCCAAGCCCGACCCGACGGAGGACGAGGTCGCCAACGCAGCTCGGCGTTTCCACGCCTGGCTATCCAAGGAGCAAAGCCCCTTCCGCAGTTTCATGTTCCTGACCTCCGCGAAGAACACGTTCTACACGGGACATGTCGCTGAACTTGTGGCTCGCGCCGCGGTTTCGGAGAAACCCATGCGAGCCGAGGACTTTGTGACAGCGATGAAGGCTCGCGTGCACAATCCGGCCGCTCCCACAGGAACAACGACTTCAGCCAGCAGCACGGGAGGTTGGTTCGAGTGAGAGACATGACACATACAGGGTGTCCAAGATTTTTTCAGCAGCAACCTGTTGTTCAGGCTGCAGTTCGCGACTGTGACGAAAGCATGTCGGCGAGCCGGCAGTGGTTGCGTGTGCAACACACGGCCGCGACCGACCGCCTCGAACGCGACTTCACAAGTGATCCCATAGTCATGCCTGCTTGTTTATGCACCCGTATCTTCGAGGCGGTGTCCCAAAAGACTTTCGCAGTCATGCCTGTTTGATCAGGATGCCGATTTGTAGTCCTTTTCTGTCCAACGTGAAGCCAACCATGAGGCAAGCTCGACAACTAGCGAGCTCGAGACAGAAGCAATCGAAGCCGACGCCTCAGATGAACTTACAGCGCTTCTCAGGCAACAGCACAACTTGTCTGCGCACATCGCTGAGCTCGCGCACGGTACCGCGGCCTTCAACGTCGCCAGAAAGGACGCATCATCGCGGGCAAGATCGGCGGCACAGAAGGACAGCAGTCGTGAACTAGGTTTGTCTAATGATGTCCCCACTTCCGCAGCTAACTGCAGCAGATTGTCCAGAAACAACAGCTTCTAGTGCCGTGCGGCGAGCATGTCCCCAGTTTCCGGCAAGAGTTTCCTTGTTTCTTGCATGCAGCATTCTCAAGCTATCAAGCTAGACAACCCTCTGTGTTCCTACTCTCGCTCGATACCACGATGGCTGCTGTCGTGCCAGAGGTCGGATTCCACAACCTAGGCAACTCCTGCTTCATCAACGCCTCCGTACAAGCGATCTTCGCAGTGCCGGACCTCGTGAAGCAGGTTGCCAGAAAAGCCTCCGAAAGGGAGGAACATCTTGCAGTGGTCTTGCAGAGCATGCATGAGGTATTGGACCGTCGCGTCCCGCACCCTCTGATCGCAAGCGAGCTCTCTTCGGGTCCAGGTAAACCTTAAACCCCAAACCCTTACCCAAACTCTACACTGATCCTAAGCTTGGGAGCTGAGAAAGCAACAAGCAACTTGCAATTATCCTAAACCCTAAACCCTCACCGAACTTCATCCGGGTCTAGGTTGTCTCAAAGGTCCCGGAGTTTAGAGTTTGGGTGTTTTTGAAAGCGAGTCGAAAACTAGAGGAGCATTTGGGTGTGTGGGGGATGAAGAGGAGGCAGTTGAATTCACAGAATCCCAGCATAGGTCATGGTTACTAGTATAGCAAATTACCACTAGTCCTACTGTTCTTACTACTACTGTCCTCATTTGTTGCGCAACCGAACCTTCAAACTTCAGGCCGGCCATCGAAAGCCCCCAAACCCTAAACCTTCAAGCGGACATCCGAAATGCGGGCAACTTCATTACGAGATTAGGATTTAACGATTCGGGTTTAGGGGCTTAGGGTCCAAACCCTAAACCCCTCAGCCTCTAAGCCGCCCAAGGAAGACCTCGAAGAGTTTGGTGTTTTCAGCGGCGACGACACAACGACAAAGTGCCCCGGGCCGCAGAGCACTCGTCTGACTACTAGGCGTTTTAGGGTTCATGGGTTTCGGGTTTGGGTACGTGGAATAGTAGGTTTCTGGGGTACAGCATATTTGTTTTTTAACCTGCTATTTATGTAGCTGAAGCTCTGGGCTATGGCTGCGGGTATTCTTTTACAGGGTTTTTGGCCTGGTTTTCGGGCTTGAGAGGGCTCCGTGGGGCAATATAGGGGCTTGAATAATTACCCGCACTATTTTGGGGGCTCCTTATTATGATTATAGTATAATACACCCGCAAACCCCATTCTAATTATTAAGGCCCTTACACTTGGGTGTTTTGAGGCTCCGGATTGACCCTTTTTTCGAATCGTTCAGGCTTAAAGCCCTGAACCCCTAAACTCCGTAAGCGATGCTGAGGAGAAAATGGCCATAAAAAAAGGGATTGTAAACTCCCGAGACGCCCGTAGCCGCAAGCAGCTCGTTGGGGTTAGGAATTAGGGCAGCTCTTGGGAATGCTCTTTGTATGTGGGGCTTTGTTGCAGGTATACAAGCCTGCTTTGGAGTGTGCTGGAGGTCTTATTATGGGTGATAGTACCAGATAGTGTTTGGGGGGTTGTCCATGGGCATCTCCTGGGAAGCAAACTGCGCAGTGGACTTCGGAGGTTGGATTTCGGAGCTGGATTTGGAACTTGGGTGGGGGTGCAGGGGGGATTTAACATAATTATGACGACAAGCGACAAGCTGCTGCCGACACAATGACGATGCCGGCGTGATGTTGATGATGATGGTGATGAGGGCCACTATAACGACATGATGATAGCTATATAGCGCATTTTTATCGAAGTAGTTGTGGATCCGTGCCTGGCTGTGGATGGTGTCTCGCCCAATGCTCTCTTTGCCGCCGCAGCCGGACAAGTTCCTCAATTCGGGCCACCACCAGGGTTCAGCAGCCCTGGCCAGCCAGGACATCCAGGCCAACAGGATCACGATGCCTCTCGGGTGCTTATGCATGCCGCGGCGCCCAGACCGTGAATCAAAGGGGCGTCGAAGGTGAAGCCCCGGACCTCTGCAATCCATGAGAATCCTTCAGAAGCCTGCGATGGCAAGCGCTTCCCTTTAGAGCACGCGGCTTGTTTGGGAGGGTTCAGTCCGACTCCTTGTATCAACATCTTTCTGCTGAAGCAGAGAAATGTTGGAAGCCTGAATAATTACCAATACTATTTTGGGGCTTCATTCTGATTGTTACCTTGTTATTATGATAGTATGACATACCTCGAAACCGTATTATAATTCTTAAGGCCCGACGTTAACTGTTGGAAGCATGATGTGGCAGATGCTTCTGAGAACCTCAAGCCTTGAAGCCCCTGAAGCCTAAACCCCTAAAGCCCTCTTACAGCCAGGCCTCTGTTAGTTTCCGTAGTTTTTCAAGCTCAAGCTTTAAGGTTTGGGGTTTAGGGACAGGGCCAATCCATAAATGTTCGCAACAAAAATAGCCCTATGATAGGGGATAGAGCATACCCCGAACTCTGAACTTCAACCCTAAATTGATATGTTCGGGCAGGGATTGATCAACATGTTGTGGTCCAGAGCCCTGAAGCTTAAACCCTGACTTTTCCACCTTTGAGACCCACTTAAACCGTTCATGAAGCCCTCAACACTAACGACGAGGTACCCTAAACCCTTAACAAGTTTGAAATCCTGAACCTGAGACTTTAGATCCTGAGCCCCGAATCCTTACCCGTCAGCCCTAGATGAGTAATTCCCTAAATCAGGGTTGCTTTCAAGATGCCCTAAATAGTACGGCACCTCAAAAGGGACCCCAATTTGGAGAATTACCAACGATACCCGAAGCACGCGCAAACTCTTCCGAGGACACACTCCCTGGCGGACTACGCCATCACGCATCTTGGGCATTGGCAGCTTTTCTATTCTTTTATATCGGGTCTTCATGTGGGTTCTATACGCAGTCTACAATTCGAGCTTAGGGCTGCAAGGTGTTGGGCTGCCTTTTCCTTTTGGCACCAAGAATTAACGGGTTGACTTAAACCCTAAACCCTTAACCGTACACCCCTAGTTAGTGACTAAGCAGCCCAGCCTTGAATGAGGCCCTTAAGGAAAGCGGCTTCATGAACAAACCCTAAACCCTTGCATAAGGTTTACAGGTTCTGAGCCTTAGGGTTAAGTGGGGCGGCCTCGTTGACTGCCGGACTGCCATGCGACAGATGGGTTTAGGGCTTCGGGATTTTAGGGTTTAGGGTGTAGTTCACTGGGTCCGTTGGCATGTCTCTCAAGAAGCGGAGTCGAGCTTTTCGCATCAAGGGCTTGCTAGAACGAGACAAGCCGGGCGAGTCTGTAGAGCTCTATCCGTCACTGGATGAGGAGAAGCATTGGCGGACAGAAACATGAAAAATCGGGTCGGGGAAGTTACCAATCGTATTGCTTGGATTCCTAAGTGTGGGCAAATTTAACCTATCACAAACTATCCAAAACCCCATTCTCATGATCCTATATTGAGCGCAAGGACTCTTTATCTTGTGGGATTCTGATCTTAATCTAGTTTTCTGGGGCCCCGATAGCATAGGCGCGTCAAGGTAGGCGTTATTCAGATATTCCTAAACCCTAAACCCTAAACCCCTGAAACGAAGAGTTGAGCATCGCTGCGTTGCTTTCGTAGATGTCTAGCTGAATTCTTCACGACATAGAGCCCTTGACAGCCCTGCAACACCCATGTGGGGTTTGGCGTTTAGGGAGCCTTGCTTCTGATCCCTGTTCATGTAGCTCCGTTTTTTCGATGACCTGCAGTATGCGCTCAGGTTCCTGCTCCCAGGCTCTGAAACCCCTGAACTAAGGAATCGACATGCAACTACTGCCAAAGGTTGCCTCTAAACCCTGGACCTTAAACCCTAAACTAAAAGAGCCTTTAAACAAAACAACTAAACGAACGGGGCCTTTAACAACAAAGAACTAGACGAAAAGAGCCTTAAACAACAACAAACAAATAACGAAACCTTGCAACCTTAGAGCCCGAGACCTTCAAGCTTAGGGCTTCGCAGGGTTACGTCCTCTAAGTCCGAAACAATAAAACCTACCATAAACTACCGTAACCTAACTTTTTTGTAGGTTCTTATCCCAAAACCCAAAACCCCTAGACCCTAAACCCTAAACCCCTGAACCCCTTAACCCAAACCCCCCAAGGCCTAAAACCTAAACCGCCCATTTTCGAGGCTCTCAGTCGCTTTGGTGGTGGCCGTGATCTCGCAGATCATCTGCCCTGAAGGCGGCTGGGTGATTTTTTGGTTCGAGGGTTTTTTGTGGGATTTGGGGTTTCAGGTTCAGGGTTTGTTCAAGGGTTGTTTGGGGATTTGGTGGGTTTAGGGTATTTTGTTTAATCTGATGCGGGTGTTGTAACCGGGATTGGGTTTCGGGGAAGCGAAGGGGACGAGTGTTGTGGGTCTCTGCGGTTTGGTCCAGAGAAGGAAACCCCCTAAGCCCTGAACCTCCAAACCCTAAGCCTGCTAAACCCTACAGCTTCCTGAAGACCTAAGCTCTACATGAAACCCCTACCCGGCCCCACCTACACGCTCTAGAAGGTTCTACCGAACTCTCGTCGCCCTTATCCCTAAATCCCCCAAAACCACCCTAAACCCTAAACCTTGGAGCCCTCGTCGCCCAGGTTATGCATGCATCCTTTCCAGCGCTGTCGCCGTGGCGCTGGCAGCCATTCCAGGGACTCAGGCTCAATCCCTTTTAGGGTTTAGGGTTTAGGGTGTCTTTTTTCTTGAAGGGGGGGCGATTTAGTGCTTCAGCGCCTAAACCTTTCGCTGTTGGGTGAGATTCCTGCGCCTTTGCACGCTTTGGACTCCAAGCGCGTCTACACACGTGCTACTCTGCTCTTTGCAGATTCAGCAGCCTAAGCCGGTATGTTTCTAGACACCCTGGGTTTTCGAAAGATAGATGGCTCCAGACATTGGTTCCATACACAGACTCCGATAATTGCCAGCTGCGTTGTCCACATTCCTTGGAAACGAAACCCTAAACCCCAAACCCCAAACCCCAAACCCCAAACCCCAAACCCCAAACCCCAAACCCCAAGCCAGACACCCCTGGAGGAGCGGTTTGCTTCTGGCGAAGCCCTGGGATGGCCCCTGCCGACGTCTCGGAAGTTTGATGGCTATTGCTCTTTCTGCTTTGTTGCTGAAACTCCTATCTTTGACTATCATGTTCATCATGGGTAGTACTCATAGCCGTTTTATGACTGTTGTTGCTTTATGGTTGGGTTATTGGGTTGCTGTTTTTGTCGCTGTTACGATGAACAATGGCATAGGCTCTTGGATGCGATTCCTAACCTTACAGTATTCATGTCAGTTCGACAGACGTTCGATGAGTTCTGCGTGTATGTAGGAATGGGCGTATACAAAAATAGTTTTAGAGAGAAAGTCAAGAGAGAGAGAGAGAAGACAGACAGGGAGATAGCGAGAGAGAGAGAAGACAGACAGGGAGCTAGCGAGAGAGAGAGAGAGAGATTTGCAATCAGCACCGTATAGTCTCGGAGAAGGAGTCCTGCTGTTTAGCCTAAAACACGAACCAGCCCACAGATGCGTTTGTCCTTCGAGGAGCTAGGCTTTCAAGTAGCAGCGCTTCACTGGCATAGCTTTCACGTTCGTGGCCAGAAGGCCCAAGTTCCCTCCAACCGTACTTCTTAGATATTGGAGCGATCCGGGGTACAATTGCAATAGGTGCACGGCTTACTGAAGAGCTTAAGAGGTGTGGGTCTCTGGTGGATGTTTGGAGGCTTTGTGTTTACATAAGCCCTATACCTCCCTGAACACAAAACCAGACAGAACCCCAAGCCCTAAGCCCGAAAACCACTGCACCCCACCAGGACGATGTGTTAAGAACTTGTTGCCTGACAACGGTTTCAACTTGCAGACAGAGTAGGCACCACGAAACACGACTTAGTGCAGCATGCCAATGCCAACAGTCGCGTGAATAACACCAGTTTTTGGAATGCGACTGCATGAGCACTCATGAAGTAGGAGTGATAAGATCGGCTTGCCGTGAGAATGCAGGGCCTCAGCAGAGAATATGGAGCCTGGGCTTCAGCAGGACTATGCGTTTCAGACATCGATGCTTTCCCAAAAATCCACAGGGAGGCCCGGCAGGATCAATCGCACAGAACATAACTATTGACTATGGTATACCTATCCTCTCGGGCAAAGTTTGTAGTGGGGAAGTGGTTGAGTGCCACCGATCTCGGGGCGCTGGATGAGTGCACCCTCCACCAGCGCAGGAGGACTTTATATATTGTATTGTATTATACTATATTATATTATATTTATATTACATGATATTGTATATTTATAATAAAACCCTTGCTCTTCAAAGATGTTGCTCAGCCGTGCAGCTGACAGACTTTAGGACCGCAGCCGACACTGCAGGACGGTCCAATCGGCCCAAGTCCAAACTGGGTTGCTGTCAGGGAGCTGAGTTTTAGGTTACCATAATGGGGGTATATAGTCTATTTAACAGGGTTTCCTTATTACAGTAACTTAATTTAAGTTCTTTAACAGCAACCCACTAAAGTCTTGGCGCCGGTGCGGAAGACTCCCCTCAGTCTTTCACTTCTTCCAGGCGCAGAATCTTGAACCTACCAAAAACAAATCAATAAACGAGCCCGAAAGACTAACTCCTGGGTATTTTCGAAAATTAACTTCTGCTTCACACTGCGTGGAAGCATCGAGGGTGTAATCTTTCGGGTTTTGCGTTTATTGTTTGGCCCCAGGTTATATTTGTTTTCCGTTTGGGCTTGGAGATATGCACTTCTAGTCGGGATACCTTCATTTCTCTTTATCTACTTGTGAATGTAGACTTAAGTTCGAAGAAGTTCCGCGCGCTGAGGCTGTACATCTACTTCGCTTCCGCCGGCGCCTTCACAGCATTTTGATATCAATAATCACCGTCATCCACACCATCATCAGAATCGTCATCAATAACCACCTTCATCCACACTATCTTCAGAATCGTCGCCATCATCATCAGCAGCATCGTCATCGTCACGACCAACAACGACACCGTCACTGTCGTCCGAATCATGAGAGTCGTCAGAATCTTCACCATGCGCAGCCTTAAGGCCTTAGTCGTTCGGCAGTTTTGCTGTCGTGGCTTCCGGTGCTTTGTGAGCTGGAGCCCATCCGTGAATCTCCGGTCAAATATGCAGTACCACTCTTCGACTTGCAAACTGCAAGGGGGATCTTTCACAAGTTGCGGTCTAGTGAAGTCTCCCCAGAGTTTCTTACGGTCCCGAAACCCAAAGCCCCAGCCTAAACATGACTTGGCAACCAAGAAGCTGCAAGTTCTATATGAGTTACTAGAAGCTTTCTTTACGCGTTACCTCAAGACCTCTATATGATTATAAGCGCCATGGAAGAGAACCCCAAACCCTAAACCCTAAGATCCCTAAACCCTAAACTCCTTAAACACCCTAAACTCCCTAAACCCGAAACCCCAAACCCTAAGCCCTAAACTCCCTAAACCCCAAACCCTAAGCCCAAAGCCGAGGCCTCAAACCCGAAGGCTTCCCTCCTCAGTCTTAACCCAGACCCAAAACCTGTCCCAGACCCGAACTTGTCACAGACGATAAGGCACGCTTTAGGGTTGTTCAGGGTGTTTCAGGGTTTAGGGTTTAGGAAGTTTAGGGTTTAGGGGTTCAGGGTTTACGGCCTCCGAGAATTCCTCAAACCTAGAGAAGATGATGATCCCTGAACACTGAACGGTTGACCCATGACTTCTAAAGTGACGTCCAGCCTGAGCAAGACGACCCACAAAAGGCCTGAGACCGATACGTCTTCGGAAAACCCCAGCTCTGGAGCCTGAACTCCACAAGCCTCTTGAGGTAATGTAGGGGCCTCAATAGTTAGAATAGGGTTTATAGTTAGGGTTTAGGGTTTAGGGGTTAAGGGGTTTAGGAATCCCAAACCCCGAAGCCTAACCCAGCGGACTGAACATTTTTGTACCACTTAGTGCTGCCTACACCCTGCAGCCTCAGCTATTGCATAAACTAGACCGTTCATGCACGCTCTCCAAGCATCGAAGTTGCTCAAGTCTTATGACGGGAGTAGAAGTCAAGGGCATGCTGTCGTGGATGTTTGAGGGGGATTCGGAACACTGAGCTCCTCGACTGGTGGCTTGGCTAAGCATCCTTAGACTCAGACCCTCACTCTTAACCCTCAGGCCCCTCGACCCCTGGACCCTGAACCCTTGACTCCTGCAGCCCCCAACATCTCTAGGCTTCAACTCTAAGCCCCCCTTCACTATCCGAAAAGTTCTGTCTTGAAGCTCGCAAAGCCTTGAGCCTGCTAAGGCTTTACAGTGGGAGCGGTGGAATTCCTGACGCTAATCAAGTTCAGTCCTCTAATTGATTTCGGCTTCTTGGCTCTGCAGAAAGCCAGACATGTACACCTGGATGTAGGGGTTAGGGTATAGGGTTAGATGCAGGGTTGAGGGGTTTAGAGTTAGTAAGATGTAGGATTCAGGATTTGGGGCTTGGGTTTGATGTAGGTTTTAGGAGGGCACTTCGGCAATTCAGGGTTTAGGCCGCTGTGCAGGCCTCCTTTCGTAAAGTCCCGGGCACTTGCCAAGGCTGTGCCGCGAGACTCCACACTGGGAAATCTAGCAGATATTCTTTGAGCTGAATTACTTCATTGTTAGGGTTTAGGATTTAGGGTTTCGAGATTAAGGGATATTCCATGTGGAATAATTAGGCCGTGCTTGAGACAGGTTGGGGTATCCTTCACCACTTGCCTCATTACCCTGTACTTGAGGGCCTGTCGAGATCCTCACCCTGTCTGGTAAATTAGCTAACTTTACTACAGGGGCTTAAATAATCAGAATAGTGTTTTGGGGTATATGATACTATAATATACTATAATTATAATATGAAGCTCCCAACATAGTACTAGTAATCATTTAGGCCCCTGCATTACCCACATAGGGCGGTGGTCTAGGGTTTAGGGGTCATGTACGCGTATAGGTAATTTGTTTGCGGGCTGTAAGTACAAGCAGTTCAACAACATATGCCATAGCTGTATCTACCCTGCTGACAACCAAACCCAAGCTCCAAAACCCAAGAGCCTAAACCCTACACCCTACACCCGAAAACCTTGCCCCTTATGTAAATTCATGGTAGTTATAAGTAGGGCTGTAAGTCGACTAATCTGAGCTATGATTAGTTGTAGCATGGTATAGTCACCCTACTTACAACCCCACTCAAAACTACCAATGTCTCTCCAAGTAGTATGTCTGGGCGACACCAGGGGAGCTGGATCCTGACTTTTTGCAAAGAAGGCAAGTAATGCAGGCACCTGGAAGAGACCCTGGCCCTATAAAAGAACCTAGGGTTTCTTGGTGAGGGTTTAGGGTTTTAGGGTTTAGGGTTTAGGGTAAAATACCTGTCCACTGAAGCCCCCAGCTTAGCCTCAACCTAGCCTGTCTCAGCTTCCCGTGTCAGAAAGCGGCAGGCGGCAGCAGCCTACACTTGAAACAGGAAATCGCATACGAAAGTTCCGGATACTTTCAGCACCGTGGCAAGTGCATCGTGCAAGCAGCTCTTGAAAACGCGTGCAGTGTTAGGTACATTGTACTTAGCAAGAGTAGTACTGGTGCTAGAAAATGCAGGAAGCTTGCTACTGTGCAACAGTCAGGACAACGTGCAGCAGTGTAAACAAAAATGAGACAATCTACCAGGCAGGGATCCACTCTAGACTACGCAGGACGACCTATGACCTTGCTTTACCCAACACACAAACCCCCCCAAAACCCCCCTAAACCCCTCTAAACCCCCTAAAAACCCCTTAAACCCCCTAAACCCCCCTAAACCCATTCACTTGAACCCCGAAGCCCAAAACAACGTGGCGTACTTCTCGCTTGGATGGTCCACAGACGTCTTGCATCAACCCCTAAACCCCCAGACCCCTAAAGCCCTAAAGCCCGAAACCCTTAAACCCCAAATCCTACACTCCCAGACCCTAACCCTAAACCCGTAAACCCCCCAAACCCTACACTCCTAGGTATCGCCCTCTACGGGTTGCACCTTTGTGTGCTCCTGGCAGCGGGGCGCTTCATGGGCCTCTCCCGACCGGAGCTGCTAGCGACCGGACTTTAAAAAAAGTGGGGTTTAGGCTTTGGGGCTTTTAGGGTTTAGGATTTAGGGTTTAGGGTTAATTAGGGTTTAGATGTTCGAGGCTTACGGGCCTTTATATTAGAATAGGGCTCCTACAGTAATAGAAAGAAGATATAAGCAAGAAAGTTGCAACATGGTTATCCTCATGCCGCATGCCCTTAATCATACGTAGTCATGGCACTAAATCATAAGCGTCCTTAATCGATGTTCCAACTTTAGGGGTTTGTGGAGTCTATGTATGCGCAGTCGCCATAGTCCCTGTACGATTTCCAAGGTTTAGAGGTGTATGCGTATACATAGGTGTATATATATATATATACAGACACACACACGACGAGATATTATACAGTTGTCCAAGGTTTGTAGTTGTGTGTATACACACGCATATACATACATGCATACATATATGCATACATTCAATCATACATATACATACATATATACAGGGAGACATATAAGCCAGACAAAACCACTTACAAATCAGAACTCCCAGAAACTGACTCTTGTCTAGCACAGGAGCCTGTTTGGCAGAAACTCGACCCTGTGTAACCGAAGACTTTATGTAGAACAGAGGAACGATCGGCAAGTAATTCACGCAATCCCATGCCCGTAACTATGCATTACTTTCTTGACTCAGACAACCTACACATGCACCGAGGTGGCAAGCAGTGCCAACATCGGCGGCCCTGCAACGGCCAGCCGCTCTGCTGCGCTTCAAGCACATCCCCCAATGCATTTTCCGCATCCCTGTAAGTATAGTGTAAAGACTATTTACAACTTCCGTGCTGATTCCTACATACTGCCTCTCGTTGTGTGCATTGGGGCTCCGCTACCTGGAGCCTTAGAATAAGCCTTAGAACACCTCCGGCTTTTAGGGTTCCTTATCATGGGTTTCTTTGTATTGTGTCAGACATCAGTCCCTAAAAAGCTAGGTTATTTGGGTTGAAGGTACGCCCTCAAACTGAACTGTCTGGCTCGAGGGTTGAGGGGTTTATGCGGTTTTGCCCCTTTGGGTTTAGGGGAGTGTTGCTTCCGGATTTTAGGATAGAGTTCGGGGTTTAGGGTTCAGGGTATAGCGAGCTTTTATTCTGCCCGCGTCGATCGTGGTGTTAAGAGTGTGCATAGCCGCAGAATGCTGGCAATATTAACAACAGCAGTTAAGAGCAAGAGTCAGAACGACAGTCATACGGACGAGAAGAGCAAACATATAGTAAACAAGGGCCCATGTACCGACCGTCGTTCAAACCCTGTACCCAAAAGCCAAAACCACAAATCCGAAACCCCCACAAAATCCGGCGCTTTATGGTTAAAAGACGGAGTAGGAACAGGAACATGTAGGAACTCTAATCTCTAAACCCTCTAAATCCCAAAACACCTTGAGGCTCTCTGGCATCCGCCAAGGGCTGGGATCAGCTCAAGCGCCCAGCTCTGTAGCTTGGTTTCAGAAACAGGCTTAGACAGGCTGCTAAGGGTTCTGGAAGGGCTTTTAAAGGGCTCCAGGAAGGTTCGCATGCAAGGTTTACAATAATGTACGCCATAGCCCTCTCAAGTTTTGTGAGGCCGCCTATCTGACGGCCAAAACGTCCGTCTGGGGATGTGGGCGTTTTGTTTTTTCTTGCGCGACCTAGGGCGACCCACAAAAAAACCCTTAAACCCCGAACCCTAGACCCTATGACTCAACCACAGGGCCTTAGGGGCTGTATTAGGGTAGCGCCTTACGGGCTGTATTCGACCCCTTCCAACGGCTCCACCCACTGACAGTCCCGAAACGGTGCGAATCACTGCCGGCAGGCTTGCTTAGGAAATTCGGGTTATTTGATTTAAAGTTTAGGGTCTAGGCTGGAAGGAGCCCCTGAAACAGGATTTGGTTCTGTGTTACTCTATGTCGGGATACCCGAGCTGCTACATGAGAAGTGGATTACTATAGTCTGCATCCGCAAGAGTCCTCAACTCACAAGCAGGTGGCTTATGGCCTAAACCCTAAGTTAACCCGGTTCAGTTTGTTGGGTAGTCAGCTAGTCGGGCAGTTCTTTGTTCCTGCGATTTGATTAGAACCATCAGCCCTCAAAAGTCCAGGGCCCTGTAAACCCCAAACCCTTAGACCACAAACCCAAAGGACCCTAACAGTCCTATGACTGGAAAACCCTACGCCACAGCTGCAAACGTTAAACAAGTGGGCTGGTATCTGGCGGGGTCGACATCCCGTCGGCTTTATCGATCGATGCCCTGGATAGCCGCGCAGCAATGCAGGCAGTGAGCCAGTTCGTTAAAGAGAAGAACGCGGCCTGCCCGCTTTGTGTCATGCACAGAACAGATGTCATCATTGATACTTGTTTAATGTATCTGTGATGAGGCAAGCCGTGCCTGTGCCATTCACCATTGGCATAAGTTGCCCTCTCGGAGAAGTTCAGATGGCCTGCTACCGGAGGTTGGTTGAGCTCGACGCCATCTTGTTGCGGTAGCCGGCTTTCCGACCGGTGATGGTGATTCTGAGTCCGAAACCCTGATTCCTAAACCCCAAAACCCTGAACCATAAAGCACTAAGTTTTAATCCCTAAGACCCTGAACCCTAACTCGAAAACCCCAAAACCTAAACCCGAAGACCCTAAGTTTAAGCCCTAAACCCTAAACCCTAAACCCTAAACCCTAAACCCTAACCGCAAAGCTTCAGAGCGAGGCTCGTCGGAACCTTCGGGAATGCCACAGCTTCGGGGCTTGGCATTCTGATGTTTCGGAGCCCCGGATGCAGTTTAGGGTTCAGGGTTTAGGGTTTTGGGTTTAGGGTTTAGGCAGAAGGGTGTTTAGGGTTTGAGGTTTAGGGGTTAGAGTGGCGGAGAAGGGTTTACTTGGAGGGTCGGACGACGTAGTAAGTATGTAATAAGTCGAGTTATAAGTACCCTTGCATGGATCCTCATTGCAGTGATATGACACTTATAAGTCTATAAAGTAACTACATTCTAAGTCCCCCGACCCTCCACGTAGGGTTTAGAGTTTAGGGTTTAGGGTTGAAGCTTCGGAGTTTGGGCATTGCCGGGCTCTGGTTGGTGTTTGGGTAAGGGCTGAGCGGTTGGGGGTTTAGGGGTTTTGGGTGCAACCCTAGTCGCAGTTATATGAGAGCTGGCAGTGGTGGTATTATCCGAGTTTTCACTCCTATCAGTACTTATTTTAGTGTTTTTCGGTGATTGCTAAATCCTAAACCGTATACAGGGTCTTGTTACTTACCTTCTGCTTTTGTTTGCGTCCCGTTGCCCAGAAGCTTGTGGACAATTTAGGCCTAACCCGAATATACGGTTTAGGGCTTAGGGCAAATCCTAAGAACTTCACAGTGAGGTTCTCAGCCAAACAGGCGTTACGTCCGGATTTCCCATTCACACTGAAGCCCCGCGATCATTTGGCCCCTAACCCCCTAAACCCTAAACCCAAAAACCCTCAAGCCCTAAACCCTAAACCCTAAAACCCTAAAGCCTTAGATCCTAAACCCTAAAACCCTAAAACCCTAAAACCCTAAAACCTGACCCTAAAGCCCTAAAGCCCTAAACCCTGAAGCCACTTGATTCGCAATCTTGAACACCAACCCCAAGGCCCTGGGTCCTCACGCTTCAAAAACGGAACCCTTACGCAGCTTTTTTTGTCCCTCGCACCTCTTCACGACAGTGTCAAAATTTCAACGATCTCAGGATACTATCGCGATTATCCTGATTGCAGAGCTTTGCAGAGGTGCTTAAAACTTGTTATTGACTGTTCATGTCGTCGAAACTACAATAGGTTCTAAACAAGAATTTGACTCGATATATCTTACATTTTGTGCGTAGGGAAACGGGAACCGCTACGGATTTCAACTGGTCGATCACCTGACGTGCATGAGCGCGCTTGAGTTTGTTTTTAGCGTACCATCGCGGTTTACTGCGCTTGACCTCTAAATCTTACCGCCCTAAACCCTAAAGAACCCCAAGCCCTACACCGTCAACTGAGTGGTCAATTGTCAAATGGGTAAATATATTAAATGATCGGCTATTTATATACAAAAAAAATTCTAATAAATCTCTTCTAATTTTTTAATTATATGAATTAAATTAATAATTGACGAACTTAAAATAAAAGATATATAAGATTCTAAATTCAAGATTAGAATTGATTTATCATTTTCCCTGACTGAAGGGAATCAAAAATTTAGAGAATAATAAAAATAAAGGAATTATATATGATGATTAGATTATGAGGTCGACATCTATTCTTATATTTTATATATTTCAGGAATATATATATATATATAGATTATAAAGATTAAGATAAGATATTTATATCATGAAAAATATAATATATATTTCTTTTGAAATTTCTTTTTTGAATTTAATATAATTTTATTGAATAATGATAATAGATAGAATCTCGTGAATATTTTCGATAATTTAAATATTTAGAAAATTCTATTTAA